TTTTTAGTTATTTGAAAATCAAAGTATTAGATTAAAAATATGACTTTGTCAAATAATAAACAAAAATAATTTTTGATTGTGACATTTGCTTCCTCAATAACTTTTCAATAGTTACAAAAAATTCGTGTCATTCCTTAAAGCATGTAGCAGAAAAGGTAAGCTTGATAAAGTTAAAGAATAGGGTTTCAGACATTACTCAGTTAGAAATCTTATTATGACTAAGAGAGATTATGCAACTAATATTTTTCTTAAAAGAAAGGTAAAAAATATATGAATTAATTTATAACATGGTCCATATATAGATTTGAATCAATAGCTTGGTAATAAATAATTAGTCTTCATGGGTATCTTACTTGTATCAAGCTTTCTGCTTTATTTTCATAAAATTAACCGAGAAAATCAAAATTACCAAAACGAGAGCTTTAAAATTCTTCAATTAGCAAATTAAAATCTTTGTGTATCTAAACTAGTTAGATAAAGATAATAAATTAAATCTTTTTACATCTCTTGACAATAATGATATCCAATACTTCCATTATTAGATAAATTAATGAGTCGGAGAAAACTAAAACAAGATAAAAAGAAATAATTATTGAACATACTCAATTTTTAATGAGAGAACATATAATAATTATCATTCCCTTTGGATTTAAAGGAACTCCCGTCCATGAATAAATACTGATTATCAGTGTTTGAGCCCAAAATTAATCTAGAAAAGGAAAAAAAGAATCAAAAGATAGTAAATGGAGGGGGGTGGGTGGGTGGGTTAGAAATAATAATTGAAAGATAGGAATAAATAAAAAAAATTCTTTAATTTTTTAGTTCTTACATGAATGTACTTACTTTAAAAAATCATGATGATGTTCTTAATATGACTAATTGAAGCAGATTTTAATTTTGAAGTGTACGAGATTTTGATTAGACTTTTCAAGTCTTTTCATTTTTTTTCTTCCAATTTCATAGTCTAATAGTTCAGAGTCGTTAAATATTTGATCGAGAATTAAGTTTCTATCTTTTCTAAAACATATAGGCCTAAAACTACTCATGAATATAATTAAGTAGTCACTTTAAACCATCATAATATTTAAGTCTCCCCGTAGATAAAATTTGAACTATCTTTTTGAGGACGTTATTTTTTAAAATTATTTGAAAGTAGGTGTAATGATTTGTTGTATCAAATTGATGGAAACATTAATTAGGTTAAAGATATATATTTTAAATATGAGTTTGTGGTTTACTTTTCTTTTGTATGTTGTATCAATAATAAGAGGTACATTCAAAATTTTGCCTAAATATCAATCCTAATAATAAAAATATTTTGTTCGGATAAATTTGCGATGCTGTCCATAGATCAAATTATTTCGTGGATTGGATTTCACCTGACTGTCTACGGTTCCTTTCACGATCCGAGCCTACACCCTGGACGTAGCCGGCGCTCGAGAACCATTGCTGGTCCCAAGCAAACCCTCATCCTGGCTGATTTCAAGCGGAAGACTAACTTAAGCATACAAAGCTTAAAAACTGAATAAATATTCATGAAACTTAAATAGAATGCTTTAACTCAAAAGAAAACTCTGAATAAAATAAATTATTCAACTCGCCATAAAATAGGGAACTTAAGTCTTTAAAAAATTTAATAAAATAAATAATACAGACTTCTCAACTATACTGACTATCTATGAAGCCTTTAACTGATACAGATGGGAGTCGGGACAAGACCCACGACATCCTGACTAAACTGGAAAGTAAATAAAATCCTTCAGAAATAAGGAGGCTCACCATAGCTAACTCGAACTTCCGGATGTATCAACGAAGCTCATGTTGATGACCCTGAATACTTGTGTCTGCATCATAAGAAGATGCAGGCCAAATGGCTCAGTACGTGGAATGTACGAGCATGTAAGAGAAATTCTAAAGCATAAACATAAGCTTGAAACTTGATAAAAATGAAACATACTTAACTCTTCTCAAACTTATTGAACTCAAGGAATACTCAAGGATACTAAAAACTACTCAACTTACTCAAGTCAGAAGTACTCAAGGATAAGATACTCAACTCAAAGATTAGATACTCAACTCAAAGATTTGATATTCGACTCAGGGTACTCAACTCTGGATAAATCAACAATACACATGCAATATATGGAAAACTTTATAAAACAGTAAAAACAACTTAGTTCATTAAACAAAATGCAATAACAAACTCAACTTTACTTATATAATAAAGTAATATAGTTTATGTGGGAGTTTGTCTAACCGACAACCACCACTACGAGCCTAAGTGGTGATACAACGTCTTGCCCATGCTGCCAGAACTGTCCTATACTTTAACATCATATAGAACACTTAACTTAGTGGATCCACTAGCTTATGCTAAAAGCATCTTAAGGAGTCATCTAAAAAGTATGATCCTTTACTACCCATGATGGATACATGGTTTATGGAGACGTGAGTTATCTGAACTCAAACTCGCCCCCATATCGGTGCTCAATACTACTCCAAAATATACTTAGCTCATCACTACAAGAAAAACAGTCTATAAGGAAGGGAAATCTAGTCCCTAGAAGTCTAAATCTGGTCCCAGAAGATCAATTACGAAGGGAAATAGCTAGTCGCCACCCGTCCTTGTTGGCTCTGACACAAATTGTCAATAGCGACGGGTTCAACATACTGGTCGTAAACTCCATTTAGACCAGTAAAAAGCATGGTCGCAATATACAGTTAGGGACCACATATCTGGTCTTAATAGATTGATTTATATCATGGGAAAAAATTGAATTTTCAATTGCTAAATCTTTTCGACAAACAATCAACTCGTCCTAGATTATCTTTAAGGACCAATATTTAACTAGTCCTAGATTATCTTTAAAGACTAAAAACTTTCTAGTCCTAGAATATCTTTTAGGGACAAGTAACATTTATGGTCTGTAATTTAAAATATCCCATCTTTATGTCACAAAGAAATGATTTTCATAAAAAAAATAATCAAAATTGCTACTGAAAATCTTGATATAAAATGATAATATATATGAAGAGAGTGTTATTAATTACAATAAAATGGTTAACATCCCATAATTGATGTTAGTTTCAATATTTGCTCAACACCTTAAAAAAAACTTAGGAAATATATCCTGAGCTAGACTATGATATATCAAGTTCTTGTTCATCGTCTAAACTTGCATCTTCACTTGTAAAACTTTATTCTTCAAAATCTGCAAGTACAAAATTTTGAAAAGAGGGTAAAACAACTATTGGTATAATACAAAAAACAACAACATATTATGGTAATGGAATATTTGTCAAGGATTCTAAACAACATTAGTGCTTTACCCGATTTCAAATTCCATCCAAATTCTGGAAAAAAACTACATTCGCACTTGGTATTCTCCCTATCAAGTACTTGGGACTGCCACTTACCTCAAAAAAGTGGACAAAGATGGATTTACAACAACTAGTAAATAAAATTATAGCAAGAATGCAAGCTGCTTCTGCTAAGCATTTGTTTTAAGTAGTTATGGCAGTGCTTTTTTCCATTCATAATTATTGAGGAGCAGTTTTTATCTTACCTCAATGTGTTTTAAAGGAGATTGATAGGAAGTGTAGGGAGTTCTTATGGAATGCAACTGTGGAGGAGGCTAGAAAGGGATTTATCACACGGCTGGCATGTCAAAGGAGGCTACTCACTCGTGAGGGATTGCTAAAAATAAGAATTTTAGTGGAGGATCGAAATTGTTGTTTGTGTGAGAAGAGGGTACTGGAGACACAACAACACTTGTTTATGGATTGTAGGTGGATTAATGGTGCGAAAATCATGATGTGTACACGGCTAGGTGTTCAATTACCATGCAGAGGAGTTTACAAAACAATTAAATGGATCAAAAGGAGAAGGTGGAAGCAGTTTCAAAAGGAAGTTATTGCAGCAGCCTGGGGTGCATTGGTCTACGACACCTGGATAGCTAGTCACAAGAGAGTTTTTAATCACCAGAATGTAAATGTTTAATTTGTTACTGCACAAATACAAAAGGAACTAAGAGAAAGAATAGATATGTTTCAGGTGTCAAGAAAAGCACATAAATGTCATAGTTTTATACAACTAATTTGTAACTAGTTTTTCTGGAGATCTAGTGGTTTTAAGACACCCTTCCTAGAAGTTGGTTGAGGAACTCTAGATGCTCATTAGGCTGTACTCTTTTTCTTGTTATGGTAATATTTCATATGTGTTACCAAATAACAACAACATATATACCTAGTTGGACATATTATAGAAAACACCCAACATCCACTTCAGAACATATTTTTCTTTTGAAGGGTACAGAACAGTGCAAGAATCATATAACGGCAGTGTATAAAACATCCTCTACCAAACAGAAACTGAGCATCCAAATTACAACTCCCATGGTGCAAACTATGGCATATTAACATGGAAGTACTCATGATTCTAGACTAAAAATACAACAAACTAGTACCTGTTAATTTATAGTCACTATAGGAAGAAACAATCTGCAGCAAGCTTGTAGTAGACAACCTACTAGGAGATAACAAATCTTATGCACGCCTCATTAAGATTAAGTTCATTTCGGACATTAACAAGCACACCATATACCAACAGAAAGCTAAACTGCTTACCTCAAAAGCAATCTGATTTACTTCAAGTAATGTCCAAAACATCAACAAAGCTGTGAGAATACAAGAACACTTAATTAGACAAGCGTTCGATGCATATACTACGAAGAACTGAAGCTTGTAACAATGATTGTTGCCTTACAGTTTATTTCTTCTTCTTCAGAAAATGCATTCACTATCAACCATAAATATATGCATTATCAAGTGAGACAATTTAACATAGGAATCAAAAAATTAAAGAAGTCATCTACTGTATGGCAATCTGTCAAGTAGATTAGGACTTTGGATAGGATGATAGGTTATCCATATAGCAGTACTTATAATCAAATAAGCATCCAACCTTAAACGACTTCAAAACCAATAATAAGAAACTCAATACTTGATCATCTAACCAACAATACAATAGTAACAATATTCACAAAAGCCAGCACAGACAAACATACAAAGTTAGAGCTTAAAAAAGACTTCTAACGTTTTTTGCCTTCTTTTTTCTTCTGATTCAGCACTAACAAAAATTAGTCATACTTAATACACACATATATAGTAGATCTCAAAGAAATAGCTGCACAGAAGCAATTCATTTATGCATACGAGCTGCAATGCATCACTGGTATAACATGATGAAGACCTTAGCCATGAGGTCATTGAAACTCAGATCTATGTTTTGGACAGCAACAATTTTTAATAGGACAACAAATTCAATTGCTACCTAAAAGGGCCATAACAAGAACACTAACTATATGTACCTGAACCAGAAAACTAACTGTACATTTCTAAAGTGAGATCCTGACTATACCTTCCTACACCCATGTTATTACCACTCAATATAGCACAGAAGCACTATGATATTTAAACCAATTTGCATTGATCGCGACTAATTCTTTGCACGCCAACTAAGTAGGGTTCATCGAGCCGATTATCAACAAGTTACATCCATTGTTTACTAGGAGCCATAACCTTAAAAGGTACATAAAAATGAAGAGTTAATTACAATTGATGGACAGAATACATTCTACTCTTTTTCCCAACTTATAAAAGGTAAGTTTTACCATGATCAAGAAGGCCAATAAAAAGATTTATCTTTGGAAATATATCTTCTTGTTCATAAACAAGTCAGAATTCAGAATGCTCTGAACAAATGTGATTATGCAGAAGCTTTTTCATATCAAGTTCCTGTCAATGGAAGGAAGTATAATGTTATTGTTTTACTCTAAAAAGCTAAAGCGTGTGTTAAATTGGAGGAAAGTTAATAGGATTAAGCCTCCAATAGGTGTTGTTAAGGCTTACACAAATGGCATTTTCAATACTAATAAATGAAAAGGATGGCATTACAGATATTATAAAAAGTGTGAATTCGGATCTCATTATGACTTTCTCAATTTCGACTTAATGCACTAGCAATAATGAGCTTATGCATGGAATCAGATTAGGGAATAAAGAACCAAGACCCTCATCAATTCCCATACTTGGCTCAAACTTATTCCTTTCAAGTGTTCTTTTCATCTTTGGAGAACTTGAAGAGGAAAACTTCCTACTCATGAGAAGGTCATCAACTTTGTCAAGAAACCTTTAGACTGTTACTGCTGCTATAAACCTGGCAGGGACACTATAGAGCATATTTTCTTGACTGACAGGGACACAATTCATGGGCTCTTAGTTCTTCAAACAAGCAACCAGACTCGGGGTAATCTAAACCACTGGAGTGGTTGTTATTAAGGTATACAACACGATATGACGTCTATGGTTATGCCCAACCAATTTATTGGGTGCTAAGTGGAAAACAATAAGTGCAGAAGAGAAAAAGCCTTATGAGGAAAAATACCAAGCTGAGAAAGAAGTTTACTTGAAAATCGTTGGAATGGAGAAGTGCGAACATGAAGCAATGAGACTCTTGGATGACGAGCAGAAACAAAAGACAGCTATGGAGTTACTTGAACAATACATTCAATTTCAACAAAGATCAATAGTGAATGAAAACCAGAAGAAAAAGAAAGAAAAGGACCCCTTGAAACCAAAACAACCTTTATGAGCATTTTTCCTGTTTACAAACGACCGTCGAGCTGCTCTACTCCGGAATAACGCAACAGTTGAAGCAATGGAATCGTACAAAAAGGAAATGGAAGAATACAATAAAACTGCAGCTGACAAGCAGAGCAACAATAATTAGAAGCAATAAGAAATAGGTGCTTCTTAGAACAAGTTCAACTGGTTATGTTGAACATAGAAAATGCCTGCTAGTTAGAGTTGAAAACTTGAAATAGTCATTTGATGTCCATGTCATTTTTTCCTGTTGTTAGTTTATTTCATTTGACTTCTAATGGATGACTTTGGATTTAGTCATATTGGCTGAGTTAATTGTTCAAAAATAATTATTACTTGTAACCAAGAAGATGAGTCATTCGATTACAAGTCATATACACGTATATGTCTGCATTTCTCATGTAAATGGCTAGCAAAATCCCTACACCAATATTTTTTGTATTGACTGTACATATGAAATCATTAACCTATTTAATGTTAAAAAAGAGGAAGAAGGAGCAACTTGAATACACAAGAAAAAAACACCATCAATATAACTTATGGATTTAACACAATAACTCGATTAGAAGATGAACCCACCTGAAATTTTGTCTCAAAAAAGCTGTGATGGAATCTGTTTCGAGCACAGCAGCAACAAATTGATGAAGAAGAAGAAACCTGCTGCGATGGAATTTGTTATGAGCAGAGCAACAACAAATCGATGAAGAAGAAGAAACCTTTGTCGATTTAATCGAAGACTGATGTTGAGATTAGGGCATACATTAACAACACATCAAAGAAGACACCTCTATCGATCTATGGGTAGAGCATTGTTCAGATTAGGGCAGAGAATGGTTGAGATTAGGTAGAGCACATTGAGTTTCAATTATGAGTTGAAGAATATCAGTGGAGAGGTTTTTTTTTTGTGTGGTGAGCTGAAGAGATTATAAGCGATTAAGTCTTGTTCCTTTTCCTTTCTGTACTATTTTTTCCGTGCACTACATTTTTTGTAGAAAAAAAAATTTCATCTGGAGGAAAAATCTCCCGCTCAAGCCTCAATGCCTCTAATTACATTTTGGGACTAGTTAGTATGTTTTTTAGGGACCGAATTTAATACCTTCCCTATAAAATATATCAATAAGGACCGAAATATAACTCGTCCCAATAGATATACTTTTAGAGACAAGAATATAGACTCGTCCTTAAATGTTGGTCTTAATTAAGGCCTTTTCTTGTAGTGCATATATTTGTAAAAACAAAACTCTTTCTTTAGTTTAAGATAATTACTCAAAAACTTAGCTTAAAAGCTCTCTTGGAATCGATGTTCCCTTTCTTCCTCAAAACTCTTTTGGAAATCTCAGTTTTCTGTAATCTTAAATGTGAAAACATTTACTCTTGGGAATACTTAGTTCCCATGTATCATTTTAAAGAGAATGAACTTTACTCTTACTCTTTACTCAACTTCAAAGCTTAAGTCTTAAAACAAAGTTTAAACATTTGTAAAAGACTTCTTAAAATAATATGGTTCACGCCGAATTATGGACTTGAACGACTCAATACAAGGTTTACAATAACCATAGATAGACTCAAATACTTGTAACTCAAGAACTTCAATTAAACTACTAATTTCAAGAATGCTCAACTCAGAGGGTTCATGCGGAATTATGAGCATGAACTACTCAACTCAAGGACTCAAATATACTTCTCATCTCAAGATTGTTCGACTTATAATGTTCATGCGGAATTATCGGAATTAACAACTCAACTCATGGACTTCATGGGTAATAGGTAATAGTCCCATGATTAGGATTATAATCTCGGAAGGGTAAGGAACTCGATACTCAAGACTTAGAACTTGAAGATACTACTTCTTGCAAAGATACTAAACTGATGGAGTTCATGCTGAAGTTATGGACATGAACGACTTGACTCAAGGGTCAAAATATCAATAAGGAACTCAGGTATACGACTCCTCTCATTCTCATACTTACTTCTCAAAACTTAACGAAAATTGATGGTGGATCTCAAAGGATTCACAATTGAACTCAAAGACTTTTTTGAACTCTACTCTTAACTCTCTCTTGAATGTGAATTATGAATTCAAGAGTTATGACTCATGATATGAAAGATCTAGGTGATAGTGTAGACTCATGAATACATTCTCTTCACTCTCATGCCCACTTACTCTAGTCTTGAAACAAGTTATTAGAAGTTGTAGAAGATTCCTCAAAGAACTCAAAGGGACTTTCTCAAAAAATGTTTGAGAGAACCCTCGAGCCTTGACTCTCAACTATACCTTGAATGTGATTTATGTATTCAAGGTTGTGATTTGTGATAGGAATGATCTCGTGATGTTTAGGAGTATTTTTAGATAGTTAAACATGAAAAACGATCAAGAAATCACTGTCTGGAAGCAAGTCCGTGACGCGGAGATGAATTAAAATATTTGGTCGCGAATTAACTTTTGAGGCAGAGAGGTCCGTTCTGTGACGCGAAGACAAACTTTATGAAATGGGGAAGCAGGTCCGCGATGCGGAGCAAGGTGCTGGATTCGCCCGACTTTTTCCTTCTTCATTTTCTAACCCCAATTCGCCTAATTTCAATTCTCTTTCTCAATCCCTCTTTAGGTTTAGATACCCAGCACATGAACACAAGAACCTACTCATAAACAATTGTAAAATCGACATGATTTCATCAAGGAACTCAATAATCTCATCTAAACTCAAGAACTAAAGCCAATTTCAAGAACATCATACTTTCAACTTTCTAGAACAAACTTAACGCTGAAATTAACATGGTTGGCGTGTGGGTGAAAAATCCCAACACTATGGAAGCTTACATACCTGAAAGAATTATCATCTTGAGGCAACTTGAAGGTAAACTTTTGAAGAAAACCCTAGACTTTGCTTTTTCTTTAATTTCTTGAGCGTAGAATCTTTTGGAGTGGATGAGAAGGTTTGATTTAAGAAAACTGATTTTCTACTCGTTTAGGGAAATTTAAATGATATCCTAAGGGTTTTTAGGACTAAAATACCCTAAAAGAAATAATTAAAACGAACTCTGAGTCGGAATAATTTTTCACCAGGCAGTGAAGTCCGTGTTGGCTCCGCGTCGCGGAGCTGCTGCCAGGTTTGCGCGACGTTAGTAAATCGGTCATAACTTTTTACTCAGAGCCCGAAATTTAGCAAACTTGGTGGCGTTGGAAAGAGGAATTGAAGGGATTTAATTTTAAATCTTTTAGCTCACTTAACTCATCCTGTACTAGGAGTTATGGTCATTTGAAGTTGACCCAAAACTTAAGAAAAACTTAGGAATGACTTGAATGAGCTCTCTTTAGTTCTTGGAACTCAAGGTGCTATATCTAGTGACCTTAATACTCAAGAAATTATAAATTTCTTGCAAAAATCTCACTCACTATGAAGAACGGGTCGAGTCTTAGCTCAAAAAATTTATGAGGTGTTACAATATCTCCCCCTTGGGATCATTCGTCCTCGAATGACGACTGGACTGAGTATGGAACGGGGTTACTCTTACTAAGGTCTGAGTCTAATGGTATGCTCTTACTATATTCAAGCTTAACCCAAATCCGTAAGTTCGGATTCTATACCTCTCTATAGGGAATCTCATCCCAAAACTATTACTCTTTACCACCACATTGGGCTCATATCAAGAACCACTTAATGTTTAACAACACCACATTCGAGCTTAGTACTGTAACAACTCCATGGAATCCTACTAACCAGCTCCTTAAGAAATTCTCAACACTTGACTTGATTTCTCATCTTATCATCTCCCCCTTAGGTCTAAAGCTGACACTTGAAGGCTATGGACCTACTCCACATTGATAACTCAATTATGCTATCTAGGCACACATGGAAAATAATAACTTAATTGGAACCTCATCTGGTAACATACCATCTCGGCACACCTCTTAATGCTCTTGTTACTCTTTTGACTTAGCCACACTTCACTGCCCTTATCTAAACGTTAGGTCTATTACTTGTACCACTCATATCTATTGTAGCTAATCACCTTAATTCCTCACCTACTCTATGTCAAGTCTTCTAGATCAAATCTCAAGACTAACATCATCACCCTCATGTTGCCATTCTTTTGATAATGACACTCATCTCAAATTCAAGCTTAATATTTATGAGTAAACCCGAATATCAATATGATTGCTCGATTACTATACTAACTTACAATTACTAGATGCAAAGTTAATAATCATTCTCCCACTAAAAATTCATGACAAATAGTCAATCCTCACCTCTTAGTATTCATACTTACAATTTATTATCACATTTCCCTTCACAACTTGAGTACAATTCACTCATTCACTATACATCAATGCCTAATTAGTTCTATAACACTTTGAATATTACGGGCTTTCCCTTAAAGATCATAAGCCTAGCTTAGAGCTATCACCTCATGAATACACTTGATCTTCTATTCACCACTTACACTTGGTCATTACCAACACGATGACACATCATCATAACCCCTTTCTAGTTAAGGTAAACTCTAACTCATCTTGACTTGCAACTCTTACTCTACCTCCTATCATGAGCTCTTCACAACTCACCACTTCTTAGTCTACCCATAAGGGAAAACTCCTCATTCATAACTTACTAGGTGCATGACTATACCAACATAGTTTGCCAAAACACCATCTCCCTTACTTAGATAACTAAACCTCTACATACTTTCCTCTAACTCTGGGCATTTTCTTATACTACTACTGCTCATGATCTCGTAACTCATGCTACCTTTTCGGGTGAAAATCATACCCCAAGCTCTAAACATACTTCTTACAAAGGATGTCAACTAAAACAAGGCTTAAGGAAAAGAGTACAACTCGCTTTTAGCTCAAACGCACGATTCACATGAATATGAGGGCATTACTCTCAAACTCTACACTTAACTTACTCTTGGACTTGTCTCAAGCCCCTCTGGAGTCTCATGACTTTCTCAAGACTCTTGCTAAGAACAACTCATCGACAAAGAACTGACTTTGCTTTTGAACCACCTCTAGTATGATGGGTAGTCGAAGGAATAAGAGAACACACGAGTTAGAACAAGTCTCTACGAAATAACTATATTGCACGATTAAGAGTATGAAAGAAAGGAAACTTTTCTAAAATGTATGTAGTCCCTCATTTATAGAAGTGGGGCCCTCACAACCATAAACAAGA